GGGTGCCGAGCGGGGGCAAGCTGGGCTCCCCGGGGGCTAATGGCAGGCGACCCCCCCCCCCAGCCTTTCTTGCTTCTAAGGGTGCAGGTATCACTGGGACGGGGGTGCCCACAGGGGGATTTGCTGCCCCCAGGGGAATGTGGCACTTCGAGGTCCCCAGGCAGTGGGGAGAGCCCCAGCATCACCGCATCTGTATCCCAGGATGCTGTAAGCACGGGCACCCAGGAGGCAACACAGTCCCAAGCACCCAAGGCAGCCACTGGCCACGTGGAGGCTGAGCACCCCAACACAGCTGCAGAGGGCTCTCACAGGCAGGTCCCTGAGCCCGGGGGTCCTTGCAGGGGCTGTTTTGGGAAGAAAACCAGTGAGACATCGGTAAGCCACAAGGGATGGGCAGGCAGGGACCAAGACTGCTCCATGTGACCCTTTGGCAGCGGCAGGACGCGCTGTGTGGTTGCAGCCCTGCACAGTAGCAGCAGCATGACAGCTTGTACAGGCTGCCGTGGCACCAGGGCATGCTGGGCATGTGCCAGGGCACGTCCGGAGGAGAGGAGGAGCAGGAAGCCCAGTCCCGCAGCCCACCGAGGAGCAAGTACGTTTTAACCACCATGCCCCCTCTGACGTCCCACCACTGGAGGCCAGATAAGCCCTGCACTGTTGTAGCACAGCACAGGGCCACCCAGGGACCCCCTTGCCCTGGCTCCCTGTCCCCTAGGGAGCAGGAAGCTTTGGTCTTCCTGCTGGCGCCTCATAAAGCAATTTAGATTAGGTCCCAGCAAGGAGGGGACCATGTTCCCTGCTCAGACATCACCACCGATACCCTTACACCAGCGAAATCATGTTTGCCATGGGGTTAACATGCTCCTGATAACAGCGAGTCACGCTTTTTCCCCTCCTCACTGAGCAAGGGGCCACCTGGGGACCCATCCCCAGGGTGACGCTCGCTGGAGGGGACCAGGGTGGATTTCAAGGCAAAGGCCAGTCACCCCCTTTCCACAGCCAAGGGACAAAGCACTGTCTCAGCCCTGGGCCAGCTGAGTAACTTATTGCTGCCCTGGGGAAAAGAGAGCCCTGGGTGCAGAGGATGGAAAGCATGCAGGAGATGCCACAAGTTCACTTAAGTCCTTCAGCTGTAAATGTTTTGTTTCTGGGCAGCTGACGCAGAGAGGAGGTGAGAAAATAGTTGGTACAAGAGGTCGTGCCTCCAAAGAGGAGGAATTCCTGGGCGCAGTGTCCTCGTCCCTCACCTCCCACCCCGCGCTGCAGGGCCAGACAGCACTGCCTGTACCTGTGGGCAGGGGCTCTGCTAATTAAACAAAGGGGCATTTGAAATGCTCAGTTCAGAGTTTGATTGCTGCTGGGTTTATTAACACTTTAATTCAAGCAGCAGAAGGAGGATTTCTGGTTTTAGAGGAGTCAGCTTTTGCACAGCTTCCCGCCGCAGGAGAGAGGCAGCAGGCACAGGCAAGGGCAGGCAGAGCGAGGAGCTCAGGTACAGAAAACACCCATGGTTTGGACAGAGGAGCACAGAGCAAAGTCACTGCAAGGGGCCCCAACGTCCCCAACAGCGCCTTGGTTCTTTCTCACCTGTGCAATGCCAGACCCCCATTCCGTGGGTGCAGCATGCCGGCTTCAGCTGCGGCACAACAGGAGAGGAGTTGACGAGCATCACACTGAAAAGGGGGCGAGCCTTTCCCCAGCTCCCCGTGCCTCCGGCCCTGCCAAGGGGGAACCCCTGCATTATGCATGGCTGGGCTCAGGGAGGGGAAGGTTTCTCCTCTCCAGCTTTCCTGGCCTTTAACTTGAACACACCCAAAGATGTGAAACTTGGCTACAGGGCAAGGCAGGTTGAAAAGGATTTTCCACTACTTTACCAGCAGGAGTGGAGGACGTGGAAGGGAAGGACACCGAGTGCACAAATGTGGTGGTGGTGGTTATCTCTGCCTCACGCAATAGCCATGTTCCCCGTTATCGATAAGCTGGGTCCTTGAGGGCAGGCTGGATGTGGCCCAGCCCAGGGCCAGAGAGGACGGGAACCCAGAGTGCCTCAGGAGCCAGCTCTGCCGACGGCGAGCGTGAGCGAAGCGATGGAGCTGAGCCAGTCAGCACGGTGCAGAACCAGCCCCTCGGGTAACCTCTTGCCCCTTGGGTCACCTCTTGCCCCTCACCAGCTTAGTGGGAAAAGCTGAGGGTGCTCTGGCCCCAGCTCAGGACAGGAGTGGGATGTGAGGGGGACGAGCAGCCAGGGGGTAAAGCAGAAGAGGGGTGGGAAGAAGGCTAAGTGTGGAAAGGCTCCCTCCTCTGAGCTCCCAGGAGCCCTTGCCTCGCAGGACGGCATGGTGGAGCAGGGAGCCTTGCAGCCCCTCGCTGGAGGGCCAGGCTGTGATGACTAATCCCCCATCATAAGGAAAAGAGTCCTTCCCCTCTCTTCTTCTTGCTCTGGATGGTGCCTCAGATGAAGAAAAGGGACAATAAAATACTAACATGCCCTTATCTTCAAAAGCAATAGAGGCACTATAAACTCCCAGCAAGTTTCAGGCAAGCAGAGCTTAGCGCCTTGTGGCATCCCCAACCTGCCTCTCGTTTCTGCCTAGCACAGCTGGTCTGAAGCACCAGCAAATAATCCATGCAAGCTCTCTGAGGAGTATCAGGCCAGGTGCTGGGAGAGCCCATCTCTGCCCGCAGCCCCCGGGAAGTGCTCAGATAGGAGGGGCAGGAGGGGGAAGAAAATTCAGGCCAAGTTCCTGATGGGCCGAGGCACTTGGAAAGGGCCTCCACATTCCTCCACCTTCCTCCCAGCGGCGGCACACTCCCAGCTGCCTCCCACGCCCCCCTCCCAGCCCCTGGGCAAGCCAGGGCTGGCGTGAAAGAAGACAAACTCTTCCTACCCATGGCGTTACAGCAGCTTTTTCAGGAGCAGCAGAGGATACGGTATGGAGAGGGGCTGCTCTCAGGCATTTCGAATCCTGACTCCCGGGCTGGGCTAAGCAACAGCTCAAATCACGGACTATGCTGGTGGGAATGGGAGGTGCACCCCCCGCCCCAGCCATGTCCCAGGCTCCACCTGATGTCCCCGCTGGTGGTCACACTCTAGCCCAGGCAACAGCCTCATGGTTTCACCTCAAGGCATCTATGATGCTCGGCTGGCAATTGCACTCACACATTACCTCCAAAGACTTCCTCTGCCCTCCCAAAGCCTTGGAGTCACACAGCTGGGACACTGCCATGAGACTGTTGGTGCCTGGCTCGTCTGGTTTTCATGGGAGACGTTGCAATGGAAGTGAGGGGTAGTGAGAAACCAGCTCCTTTGCAGAAAACACCTTCAGTTGGAGGAAAAGCCTGTCCACAAACTCATGGCTTTCCTTAGCCTCCTGGAAGAGACCTGTTCAAAGGCGCTTTAAAGGATCTTTTGGTCTTTAAAGAAAGATATGAGGGAAACAGAGTGGAATGAACTCCATGGCACTGCAGGGGACAGAAACTTTTGGGTGCACCGGAGGAGATTGCTAGAAAGCACCTTCCTGGCTGGGTTTGAACAGCAGCTCAGAAATCTATCAGGAGAGTTATAAAAAGTGTTTATCTCAGAAAACCATGATACCTGTGAAGAGGATACAGAGGTTTGATCTTCCAGGCATTACATTAACATCACAATCAGATTTCTCTGTAATTTGAGTCTAACCTACGCTAGAGGAGCTTCAGGTTAGCGATCTCAGCAAACCTAGCATACATGCAATCTGTAGTAGCAAGAGCGGGCTTTATCAGTAGAACCTACACCAATTCAGCGAGCAAAATAAGCTTTATCAGCAAGACACACTTTTATAGTGGTGTAAACATAAGCTCTTTCAGGGATTTTACAGAAATATTGGTGAAAACAAACTCCATTTCTAGCCAAAATCTGCCCTGGAGAACTGGCCTAGAGAATTGAAGAGAATTTGTCCTGCACCCTCGGCAGCTCCACTGCCGATGGATGGTTAAACAGCACCGCACTGCACAGAAGAGATGAAGACCAGAGGATCCCAAACACCTTTAT